TGCAACGAATCGCTCGTCTACCGTAGTGGCGCTTACGGGAGGTGAAGCGACGCGCGAGAGACAACTACCACCATCGCCACCGTCCTTGATTCCATGGTGGCCGCGCGTACAGGTAGCACAACGTCGGTGGAAGCGGCACAGGCGAGAATCAATATCGCGCACCCTTGCAACGGACCGAGCAACCTGAGGGGTTAGTTTGGTCCCCCTCGTGCGCCAGTCAAAGGCCCTTCTCGAACCTCCTCTCCTCCTCTGCCGACTCTGTCCTTCTTCCGTGATTTCCTTTTCCACCCTCCCTTCATTTTCTTCTTGTCTATTCTCTGTTACGTTACCATTCTGATTTATTTCGTCTCTGCTTGTATTCTCATTTTTACGTACGTGCGAACCATTCGTAGCATCTGTTCGTCTGTATGTTTGATGTGATTATATCGATCTAGCTGTTCACGCTGAATATTATAATATCTCGTTGAATGTATATTTGCAGTGGGTATGCTTGAAATTTTACTAATACAACAACGGTCGTGACAATTGTGTCTCATTAAAGCGTGAATGAATGTTATAACGTGTTACACAAAGAAGTTGCACGATGAGTGACTACGGTGAAAATCACAGCAACGTCATCGATCCTTGTAATGATAAACGAGCCGACAAATTAAAATTCTCCGACGAATTATTCGCCTCCGTGTAATCAGTGACACGTTACGCCGCAAGAATATCGCGAGAAATCGCGTATCACTTTCCACCGTTCGCGGCGAGGAAACACGACGCGTTAATGGAATAAGCTGGCGGAACGATCTCGAGCGGAAATGAATGCTCAAAAGGTAAAGAGAGCAACGGCGTCTTTCAATTCTCGAACGTTCGTCCGACAATCTGATCCCCCTCCTTCTCCCATCTCTCCTGTTTATCAGGGTCTCTGGAGAAATCAGAGCTTCCGGCGAGTCGACTTAGGGAATTCTCGCTTGTTGAATTCGATAAAAGCGCCCGTTGGAAATCCATCAGGTCCGGCGATACACCTATTTATTCGCTGTTGGGCTCACCGTCGAAACAGAACCATCGTGATTTCGTTAGAACTTCACTCGAGCTCACTGTCCGCCATCTAACTAGGCCATCTAGTTTCTGTGTAACGCGTTCTTGAATCCGACCAAGATAATATTTTACGCAACCGTGTTGTTGATCGCTATCGATCTATAATTAAGCGTAATTACAAACCCGGTCTACTCGTCTTTTTTTTTCTCTCTTTTTACTTTTCCTGAAAGATGGAGATATTTCATGATGTTACAAGCACGTGTCGTTTTTAAACTGGCCATTAATAATCTGAGATTATGCTCCATACTATCATCTTGATTGCTAATTTCTGGAGACTTGACTAACCACTTTTCCTAAGATGTAAGATAATCCATAATTTTGTAAAGTAAAACTCCATTTAATAAGAGGAATGAATGGACATGATATGGACAAGAATAGATGAATACTTATTATATACAAAAGATATTAATTCTCACTGATATGACGATATCTTAAACGTTGTTTTATTCTCTACTAAATCGCAAAATGCAGGTTTTTATGAAAAATTAGAAAATATAGAAAATATTGAAACACAGAAGATAAAATTTCGTCCATTTCAATTAATATTTGTAAATTTGGCCTCTCTCCTTTGTTTAATGCAATTAAAACAGTGAAATAAGAATTATACAAATATTCTATACTTAAAATATAAACACCGACTAGTAGAATTTTTTCCCTGCCAATTATAGTTTATTCAAACTCGAAGTAAAATCATCTGTGGAAACTTCCGAGTATCTACTATCGCGGGTTAAACACGACTGAAAATCGGCGCACGCGCTTTTATCGCGAGGGCCGTTTCAAGTTTTGGGCCGCATCTCCCGGGCAAAATCTCCCGTGGCTTGCGTCCTCCTTGAAACTTGTTGGAATTTCAAGAATATCAAGATACTGGAAAGTTGGCCGAATTAGTTGGAAATCTCTGGAACTCCGGGCTGGTTTTAACCGAAAGCCAAACATCAAGACGTTTCGAGTTCGCGATGACGAGAAGTTAAACGGCAAGTGCATCTAGTCGCGCAGGTCCCTGCAAAAACACGGGAACTTGGGGCTGCTGGAAGCACCCGCCGGTAGCATTCGAATCTCTCCGAGGTCGCGGAGCGAAGTTCCGTGAAAATTTGAAGAATTATGCAACCGTGGAGAAAGTTGGGAATTTCGTGCTCTTCGACTTTTGCCTCGTGTCGCAGCAAGTGACGCCTCCAGACTGCCAGATAAATAAGAAAACTTGTAAATAGTGAAACTTGAAAAATAGTCCCACATTTCTTTTTTTTTTTTTTCTTCCCTTTAATCCGTCAGACCCGGCAAGAAACGTTGCGAAGTAGCATTCGACATTTTTGTGGAAAAAAATAAATCCCTCGATATCGAATTTCCTTGATGAAGAAATCGTTTACTTTCCCGATGACGAACACTTGGAAACTTTCAACAGGTTTTCAAACTCGGACGGAGCCTCGGATGCTGGGGATAAATGGGGAAGAACTGAAGACGTTCGAAAATAGTAAAGGATTATAACCCGAGGAAATGAATATTTGGTTTCGGGGAAGTTTCGAAAAAACAGAAAATAGAAACACAGAGGATTAAGCGTATAAATACTTTAGATTAGGATGCGAGAGAAGAGTGTATCGTAAATTAGAAAAGAATTACAAATAGGATCGAGTACAGAAATACTTGAGATCAGAGAATGAAAGAGACCGTGCTAGTCACCTAAAAATTTCCAAAATGGATGTCTACAGATTTTTAAAATAGAAAAATTGGTGTACAATTTTGTACGCAACATCAAGCGTGAAAACAAATAAAAATTTCAACAATACGAGAATTAAGGAAAGATAACTCATCGAAGGCATCGAAAGTAAGAGGGCAGCAAAGCGTGGAGGTAAGAATGCCTGACGATTGTTTCATAGATACGCATCCGCAATCTTGGAGCCGCGATCGAGGCTCGAATACGAATGACGAACGGGTTCGAAGGCCGGACGAAGATTGCGAGTCGCGATAATCCGGTGGCGCTCGATTAAAAGCCGCGCGGCGGTCAGCCAACGGAACGTGGCGGAAGTACGAGAGAGGGAGCAGCCGAGTAACGCTCTAAGCCGGGTTAAGCCGCGGCTTAAATGCTCGCCACACGGCGAGAACTTGTTCGCCTGGGGTTCGCAAGGCTCACGCATCGAGCAAACTCAGTCTCAGAACGAACTTTTTGCTTCAACAACGCGACGAGAAAGTCGAAGCCGAAACACTTTCATCTTCTCTCGTCGCTTCTTCGCTGGCTTCGTGAGCCGACACAGCACGTTTCACAGCTGTGATGTGATGAAAGCTTGTTACAACGGGGGGCAGAAAAAGGAAACGAAGTGTCAAACGGAAAAATTTCATTGGCTTGGCCGAAAAGGAACTGCGTGCAAGTGAAAGACAAAAACTTCGTTAATATAATATAGTATGATGAGCTTTCATATTTTTTTCGACCAAGAACGACATTCGACATTTTCATCGGTAGTGAAACTTGGCAAACCAATTCTAACTGTTTCTTTTTGATTTTCCATTTTGAAATCGACAGCAAATAAATAATTGTTAACAAAATCGTGCCCTTTCTTTTCAAGAACAAGATTACACAATGAATACGCAGTTTAAAATAACGTTAATTATTTTAAAATATACGTATGTGTCTATCTTAGAATGGAAAAAAAGCGCAACTACTTTTTGGCCAATTCAATGTTTTACTTTTCTGACTCATTTTTGCACATAT